GAACCACCACCCACCCATTCCCACGATTCCTGAAAGCAGGCTGAAGAGGGCCTTCCGCCCTACCTTCCGGCGTAGTCCGGAGGGACTGCCCGCCCACCAGCATTACTGGCTGGTGGGAATGAAACACCCAAAAGAAATAAAATCTAACGGCACGCTATGTTTTAACTTTTCTGATCAATTGACAACTTTCCCTTAAATTAATTAGTTAATATATTTTATTGGAATGCTGCTTAACATGTTTCATTATTTTTTAAAAATTTTTAGAGGCTGCACTAAATCTGTTCATAAATACAAATGGTCAAGAATTGCTGAAAGAAATGAAACCGGACCTGAAAAAGAAACTACTTGCGACTTTGTCGAACTTCGTCGAAAATTTGTTTGCCAAAATACCGTATGATGCTTGGATTGTAGGGTAGTAAAGAATTCCAAAGTGTAATTGTATAAGTAGATAAGTTTTAAAAAAGTTAAATTATTTGTTGTAAATATACATAATATGTTAAATTAAATTGTCACATATAAAATAGAATAAATAAAAGTCTTGAAAATGTTGATATTCTATATCATAACTACAATAATTTTACGTTTCGCATTTTTTATACGATATGTAAAAAAGCTGGCTATGAGAAGGAACAACAGTATTTTCTTTAGTAAACGTTTCATTATTATTTGAAATCGAATGATATGTAGAAAATATCAATTAAATAATAAAATTAATGTATTAGAAATAGAATTAAGTTGTCTCTGCGTGATTCAAATGGGGTAATTATTACTTGCAATTGGATCGTCCTTGATGATTTTTCAGGAAATGCTAATAATACGTGTCAAGTTTGTACACGATACTATAAGATCAAAACAACAAAGATTTTGAAACATTTTTTGCAGCAGTGAAAAGTTTACGTTTTATACAATATGACCACAGAACTTTACTTTGGTATTATTGCTGTACTTTTTAGTGTAGTTTTTGCAAAGCAAGATATTCGTAAGTACACATTATTAGACAATAAATTTATTTATGTTCTACTACTGCATCGCCTCTTAGTTTGACGACATCATTCGACAGATGAAAAAAATCATATAAAAGGCTTATGCGAAGTTTCAATAGTAGGTAATTGTTTTATTGGATGTTAAGCTTCAATGAAATTGGCAATAATTTCAATACTCAATGACTTCATAAGGTGACGAAATGCATTCAAAATTTTTACAAAATTTACTCTTTATGTACTAACAATTACAACATTAAATATATAAAATACCTAAATACTTTACCCCACTGAAATGCAGACTTTTCGGGTCTAATTAGATAATTAGCAAGAATAAGTTAATATGCTTATAACGT